ATCTTTGGTTGTGAGGTGGGTGTCTTGAAGACAACAAATGGATGGATCTTGTTTTCTGATCCAATCTGCAGGGTTTTTATCTTTTGATTTGTGAATTGAGTCCATTGCTATTTATGGTTATTATGGAGAAGTGCACTGTATTTCCTGTCATTTTCCTGCTTTCCTAAGTTTTTTCTTCTCTCCTTTCCTCCTGTGCTTACTAAGTTGGTCTTCTAGTGATGTCTGCCTGACGTGGATCCCTGATCTTGTTTTCATCAAATTGTGTTCCCCCTCTTAATAGTCTTTGTAATGCTAGCTTATTGTTTATGAATTCATTTAGTTTTCTTTACTATTAAAAATTTTAGTTTCTCCATTGAATGTGAATACTAGCTTCACTGATATACCAGTCTGGGTTGGCAGTTATTGGTTCTCAGGGCTTGGGTGATACTTTCCCAGGCTTTCCTTGCATTCAGTGTCTGTGTGGGGAGATATGCAGTGATCTTGACTTTTCCCCCCTTATAGTATAGCTCCTTCTTTGTTTTTGCCATGTGCAAGATCATTTATTGTTCAAATATAGCATTTTTTTTCTATGATGTGCCTAGAAGTGTTCCTCCAGGGATACTGTTTGCTAGGTGTTCTGCATGCTTCAAGATTTTTAAGATTAGGGAAATTTTTGGCGACAATCTTATTGAATCAGTGTTGATCCCTCTGTTCTGGTATTCTGCTCACCTTTATTGACCCCAATTACATGAAGGTTAAATGTCTTGGCACTGTCTGCTTGTTCTTGGACTTCCTCTTGGTGTAGTTTGTTTTTTCCATATCTGTGACTTTTTTTCCAGTTGCTACATTTTGTCTTCAGTACCTGATACTTTATTTTCCATTTCATTCACTCTGTTAACTATGGCTTCCACTGTGGTCTGCACAGAGGAAATTGATCCAGTTATGATTTCTATGTCAGTTCTCAGATATTAATCTCATCTTTTAGCGAGGTGTGTACTGAACCTATTTTTGAGTGCATCTTGTTTGAAATCCTGGGTCTTTTTTGATAATTCGTTTCTTTGTTCTTTAAATTTCTGATCCATTTCTCGCTTTTTTTTTTTTTTTTTGTGGGTCATGGGGCTTGAACTCTGGCCTGGGCGCTGTCCCTCAGCTCTTCAGCTCAAGGCTAGCACTCTATCATTTGAGCTACAGCACTACTTCTGGTTTTCTGGTGGTTTATTGGAGATAAGAGTTTCATGGACTTTCCTGCCCGGGCTGGCTTTGAACCATGATCCTCAGATCTCAGCCTCCTGAGTAGCTAGGATGACAGGTCAGGTATGAGCCACCGGCGCCCAGCTAGCTTTAGTTCTTGTGTCATTGCCTCTATCAACTCTTGGATGTAGCGTCTGCCTTCCATTTCTTTTGCTCTTTCACTGGAGTTCTTCCCGGGGTGGCTGCTGGCCTTTGGGTGGCTTGCTGTCTTAGCTGTTGATGAATCTTGTAATCTTTGCTGTGATTTTTGCATGAGGTTTCAGGGATTATTGGAGACGAATCCCAAATTCTGATTGTTTTGGTCAATGAGTGGCTGCCTTTGCTTGGTTCTGGGTTGGTTCCTGGGTCAGTTGTTGAAGCCTGCTCTCAGCCCTGGGCTGCCTGAGACTTCGCCCCATCTCGGTTCTGTCCGGGGAGGGGCTGACTTCCAGCTGCTAGTCCCCGACCCAAGTAGGGCTGACTCTTGGTAGTTTCTGGTGGGCATACCCACTCCACCCTCCGATTTCAATCAGGGGCAGGTGGCTCAGGCAGCTCGGGCTCCGGCCTGGACACAGGTGGGGCTCGTTCACCTCCCGCTGGAGCCCACAGGCAGTTCCCGACTTCAGCTAGGGACGCGCCTCCTAGACTGCTCGCGCTCCCTCCCAGGGGTGCTCTTGGCAAAACCAGGAGGGCTGGGTGTATTCCACCAGATGCTGGAGCCCGGGCGCAGTTCCTGGCTTCAGCCAGGCACTGGCGGCCTGAGCTGCCCGATCCCCAGCCCGTGAGACACAGGTCGGGCTCCTTCCGCCGCCGGCTACTGAGGCCCATGGGCGCGGGGCGGCCGCGTTCCCGCTCCTTCCCAGCGGTGCTCGGTGCTGTGGGCAAGCCTGGCAGGCTGGGGTGCTCCGCCGGTGACCCCAGGGGGAGGGGTCGGGGTCAAGCTCTGGGGGCCACCGCCAGCGCTGGCCCCTGTGGGGGGGCCGTCCCCCGTGGGGTACTCACTTATCCCGGAACTGGCGGGGGGCTGGGCCGATCGCTGCTCCTGGGCGCTGTAGGTGGCCGGTGCCCACGGCGTTCCGCGTTCCGTGGAGATGATTGTGGGCTGGGCCGGCGAGGGGCGGGGGCTCCGGGCGCGCGGCCAGGCCGGGCGGGGAAGGGTGGTCGCGGTTCCCGGGCGCGCGGCCAGGCCGGGCGGGGAAGGGTGGTCGCAGTTCCCGGGCGCGTGGCCAGGTCGGGCGGGGAAGGGTGGTCGCAGTTCCCGGGCGCGTGGCCAGGTCGGGCGGGGAAGGGTGGTCGCGGCTCCGGGGCGCGCGGCCAGGCCGGGCGGGGAAGGGTGGTTGCGGTTCCCGGGCGCGCGGCGGCTCGCGTGGCCAGGCCGGCGGGGAAGGGTGGTCGCGGTTCCCGGGCGCGCGGCCAGGCCGGGCGGGGAAGGGTGGTCGCGGCTCCGGGGCGCGCAGCCAGGCCGGGCGGGGAAGGGTGGTCGCGGTTGCCGGGCGCGCGGCCAGGCCGGGCGGGGAAGGGTGGTTGCGGTTCCCGGGCGCGCGGCGGCTCGCGTGGCCAGGTCGGGCGGGGAAGGGTGGTCGCGGCTCCGGGGCGCGCGGCGGCTCGCGTGGCCAGGCCGGGCGGGGAAGGGTGGTCGCGGCTCCGGGGCGCGCAGCCAGGCCGGGCGGGGAAGGGTGGTCGCGGCTCCGGGGCGCGCGGCCAGGCCGGCGGGGAAGGGTGGTCGCGGTTCCCGGGCGCGCGGCCAGGCCGGCGGGGAAGGGTGGTCGCGGTTCCCGGGCGCGCGGCCAGGCCGGCGGGGAAGGGTGGTCGCGGTTGCCGGGCGCGCGGCCAGGCCGGCGGGGAAGGGTGGTCGCGGTTCCCGGGCGCGCGGCCAGGCCGGGCGGGGAAGGGTGGTCGCGGCTCCGGGGCGCGCGGCCAGGCCGGCGGGGAAGGGTGGTCGCGGCTCCGGGGCGCGCGGCCAGGCCGGCGGGGAAAGGTGGTCGCGGTGCCGGGGCGCGCGGCCAGGCCGGCGGGGAAGGGTGGCCGCGCTGTCCCGGCCTCGCGCAGGTCGGAGGTCCCCCTTTTCTCACCTCCTGTACCCCCGGGTGCGGCCTCTGGCTGCGCTGGGTCTCTCGGGATGGGATCGGAGCGCGGTGGAGAGCTGGGGGCTCCCTCCTGCCCGCCGCCAGTTCCAGCTTTGCCCTTGGTTTTCTCTTCGCGTTCTGGGCCTTGCTTTAGAAACCGAAGCATCCTTGGTTTTCTACACGGCTTTGTGAGAGGCGGGCACTGCTCACTCCCGGCCGAGATTTACAGATCTCTGTGGGGGCAGCTTGGGCAGAAACCTCCCAGACTCCATCTCCAATTAACCAGCAAGAAGCTGAGCTGGAGCCACGGCTCACGTGGGGGAACACCGGCCGCGCGTGCAAGCCGAGCCCCAAGCTCAAACTCTGGCACTGCGAAGAGTTTTATTTTCTTCATTCAGGTTGGTGAGATCACCGCAGTTGTCTGTGGCATGAGTTGGCGTCAAAATTCATCTTTCTCCATTTGCGTTTCTATTTGAACCCAATAGATGGCTTGTTCATTTTCCTTAATTTCTCTCAGATATTTTGTGGCTTTGAGTGTACCACAAGTTTTAAATTAGGGGCTGGGAAGGTGGCTCAGTGGTAGAGCGCTTGCCTTGCATGCCTGAGGCCTGGGTTTGATTCCTCAGCACCACATAAGCAAAAAGAGAAAAGCCAGAAGTGGTGCTGTGGCTTAAGTGGTAGAGCGCTAGCCTTGAGCTGAAGAGCTGAGGGACAGCGCCCAGGCCCAGAGTTCAGGCCCCACGACTGGACCCAAAAAAAAAAACAAAACAAAACACAAGTTTAAAATTAAAATTTTATTGTAGCTGGGGATTCTCACCTGTCATTGTAACTACTCAGGAAGCTGAGATCTGAAGCCAGCCTGGACAGAAGTCTGTGAGACTTAGCCACAAAAAGCCAGAAGTGGAGCTGTGGCTGTAGTGATAGTGCTAGTCTCGAGCACAAAAGCTTAAGGTCAGCGCCCAGACCCAAAGACGCAAGCCCCAGGCCCGGCCAATACATGAATAAAGTTTTATTGTGTTTTGTGGAGTCTGATGTGTTAGTAAGTGATGGAAAAATCTTTACTGCCCAGTTGCTTTTGCCTAGGACAGAGACAGCACAGACTTCTGCACCCTGACCTCCAACCTTGCTGTCCTGAAGACTTCACCCCCTAGCGCCAGTACTTCCTGGGTACACTCCTTTGGCTTTTCCTCGTCATTACCTTGGAGGGCAGCCTTGGGAAGGTGCATGGAGTCTGGGAGATACATGTGGGCTTCCAGCCTCACTGGGCAGCCCAGAGCACTTGCGATTTTTCCAGCAATCAGTTGTAGCAATAGGTAAGAGGCTGCCAACTGGGAAGTTCCCTAGCCTTGGTACCTAGGACTCCTGAATCACCGCATCCAGGCACTAGGGCGGTGGAAATGTGGACCCCGCTGTCGTCCCAGTGTCCCACATGACAGGGCTCCTCCCAAAAGGGCACGGAGACGCACTGAGCTAATGTTGCCCGGCAGCCTGGCACCTGGGCCGGCTCTCTTCTGCTGTCCCATGGCTCCGGCTTCCTGCTTGCTGCCCTGTGGGACCCCCTAGCATCAGTGACCACAGGTGGCACTCGAGCTGTTACACACAGGGCGACCCCCTCCCGCACAGGATCAGCCACAGCGATGAGCCCCAAATTCCCAGCAGGACCCCCATGCTTCCCGGGAATCCTCAGGCGCCACCCGCGGCTGATGAAAAAGCATACCACAGTCATCTCACACAGGGAGAGTTTAATGAAAAGAACTCTGTAGATCAGATCTGGAGAGAGCTTTATACAATGCCCTGGTGGGGGGGTAGGGAGGGGGTCTGGACAGATAGCACTTGAAATGGGGTTCTCCCCACAGCTGGAACTCTGGGCAGGGAGAGGCCCCCTCTTGTCTGAGTCAGGGTTTGGGGGACAAGCGGGAACACCTGGGATGTTCCCTGGCCAAGGAGGCCAGGGAGGTGTGTGCACAGGGCATTGGAGGCTCTGCTCACTGGGGCTGACACCTCTGGCAGCCATACGGAAAAAAAGAAATTAGAAGCCCTTGAACTACAAACAGAAGTGCCCCCAACCTGCAGTGGTCCCTCAGCGCCCTCTGCTGGATAGTCCACATGGCATACAGGAAGAGGAGGAAGAAAGCTCAGGGCCCAGCCCCCACCACTGCAGAGCAGGTGAGGAAGGGGTCTGGCCAGCCAGTGCGGATCGCACTGCGACATGGTGTGAACCTCATCCCAGGGAGCTGCCACGGCCATGTGGAGTGTCAGACGCTGATTTGTCTGGACAGCGCAGAGGCCTGCTCTCCACACACACACACACACACACGCGCGCGCACACACACCTTAGCTTATCCAAGGCTATCAGAAGTGACCGGTCACCCTCCCACCTTATTCTTGCTGGTGGGAAGACAGCTGGTGTAGACTCAGATCCCGGTGGGGAAACTGAGGGGAGGGAGCAACAGCCTAGACAGGGCACCTGCCCGTGCCAGCTCATTCCGTATCACAGACGAAGGGACTGGGTTTCCCGGAGGGGGATCTGGGACGTCAGCCCCACAGGTCCAGCTCCGCTCGCTCCACGCGGCCACCTGGCCGGTTCCTAGAAGAGCCCGGGCAGCAGGCGGTAGGGCACGGCCGCGGTGTAGCGGTCCCAGTCCCGGCCGTACTTGTTGGCACAGCGGTGCTCGTCCCGCAGGCAGCGGTGGGTCAGCAGGATGGTCATGTAGATGGCGTAGAAGTAGGGCAGGAGGTGGCCCCCGCCGCAGGCCAGGCAGTAGGCCAGGCTGCCCATCAGGTCGCCCGTGTAGTTGAAGTGGCGCGCCACGCCCCAGAAGCCAGACACCAGCAGCTTGCTGTGGTGCCGCTGGCCGTCGGACGAGGAGTACGAGCACTCGATGACCTTGGGCTTGCGGCCCCAGATGAGGCAGCGTCCGTCCGTGCGGCGGAACAGGTCCTTCTGATGGTTGGCCACGCGGAAGACGTAGTAGCCCACGAGCCCCAGGAGCAGGACGCCCACGGCGTGCGGGGTGGACAGCTCCACGGGGTGGGACACCAAGTACAGGCCCTGCGGGCCAGAGAACGGTGAAGCGTGGCCAGACCGGGCACTGCCTCAGTTTCCCCTTCTATGAAACAACACACCTGCCTGGGAGGCTGACTTGGGGCGGGAGAGTCTGTGAAACTCTCATCTCCAATGAACTACTCAGAACAAGCCGGAAGTGGCGCTGTGGCCCAAGTGGTAGTGGGCTGAGGACAGCACCCAGGCCCAGCAAAAATCCAAACAAAAAGCAGCACAAACCACTGTGTTGTGCGCTCACCAGGCCGTGGGGGCAGTGATGGCTTAACGGCGATGTAGGGGCGGAGTCATCACGGCCACCCAGCCGGCTCCATCCAGCCTGACCTGGCTGACGTGAACCTCACGGCACATTTTCCACCTGCTTCCCCGCCACGGTGCAAGCCCAGATCCCTGACACTGAGCCGCCAGCCAGCGCTGACAACTGAGACCCCCAGGGACTGGCCAACCCGCCCTTTCCACGCACCAGCATGTCACCTGACAGCACTGCCGGGAGGCAGCGGCGTGGGCTGAGCCCACCACAGGCACACGCCCAGCTAAAGCCGAAGAGGCTGAGGTAGATTAGTGGGTCAGGGCTACAAAATGGATTTCCAACATGCCACTGGGACGTGAGCCCTCGGTGGGTCAGGGGGGCGAAGGGAAAACACAGACACGCGTTCCTTGCTGAGAGATGGCGGATGGGGTCCAGCCAGGCACGGGTGGCTCACGCCTGTAATCCTAGCTACTCAGGAGGCTGAGACCTGAGGATTACAGTTGGAAGCCAGGCAGGACAAACTACTCAAAAAGCTGGAAGGAGAGCTGTGGCTCATGTGGTAGAGCATTGCCCTTGAGCAAAAGAACTCAGGGACACTGCTCAGGCCCTGAGTTTAAGCCCCTGGACCAGCACAGAAGAAAAAGAAAGATAGAAGAAAAAGAAAGAAACAAAGAAAGAAAAAAAGAGGGGGGAGAAGGGAGGAAGGGAGGGGAGGGAGGGGAAAGAGGGAGAGAGGAGAGAGGGAGGGAGAGAAAAGAAGGAAGGGAGGGAGGGAGGAAGGAAGGAAGGAAGGGAGGGGAAGGGAAGGAAGGGAGAGAGAGAGAGAGAGAGAGGGAAGGGAGGGATGAAGGGAGGGAGAGTGGGAGGGAGGCAAAGAAAAAAAGGAAAGAAAGAAATGGCTCTGGTGCCGGCGGGACCCATCTTTCCCCAGGGGGCAGAGGTGACAAGGGTCCCAGCCCCACGCCCCACACCACCCACGGGCCGCCGCCTCTCCTCACCTGCAGCGTGTACAGGTAGGGCAGCCAGACGCAGTCGCCCCAGCCCAGGTACCATCCGAAGTGGTCATGGCAGATGTCTATGGTCTTCAGGTACCAGGCCTCATTCCAGAAGAAGTCCAGCACATAGATGGCCTGAGAGACAGTCATCACTCAGTGACCCCCGGACCTGTGCCCAGCCTGCATCCAGTAGTTACGGACAGGGCCCTCAGCTGGGTGCCAGTGGCTCACGCCTGTCATCCTAGCTACTCAGGAGGCTGAGACCTGAGTATCCCGGTTCAAAGCCAGCCCAGGCAGGAATGTCCAATAGACTCTTATCTCCAATGAACCACCAGAAAACCAGAAGTGGCGCTGTGGCTCAAGTGGTAGAGCGCTAGCCTTGAACTGAAGAGCTAAAGGACAGTGCCCAGGCCCAGAGTTCAGGCCCCACCAGCGGGGGGGGGGGGGGGGGGGGGGGGGGGGGGGGGAGAAGAGCTGAACTCAGAGCTTATGCTTACTGGCCAGCGCTCCACCACTTGAGCACATCCGCCACTTTTGTGGAATGCCAGAGGACATGGTGTTGGAGCTCTCCGCCCCCACAGCACACAGTGTCCCCCTGGTGGCATAGGGGCTTCACCTGCAGGACGTTGACCAAGACCATGGAGTTGGTCACGTGGCCGTGGAGCTCCTGCTGCTTGGCGGCGAAGGACAGGTTGATGAGCGTCCAGGCAACGATCCCCGGGCGCCCGTTGAAGAAGAGCTTGAAGTCAAACCACTTCCCGATCCGAGGGTTAAACTCAATGCCCATCATGTAGTTGTAGAAGAAATTGCCTGTGAATTTGCTGAAACCATAACAATAGACACTATTGGCCACCTTATCTCAAAACAGGCCTCGGGAGCCATGTTCGGCAGGGCCCGGGGCTGCAGGGCAGCAAGCGCCTGGCTCCGCTCGCGTGGCTGCAGAGGCCCACGCACAAAGGACATGCAGCTCTGCCCACGCCCCTCCATCCTCATCTCCTCCCACTGCCAGGAAGCTGTGCTTAGCAGACACCTGCAGACGAGGGCACAGACTGCTGCTCCCAGGAAAGCTAGGAAGCTGCATCTGGGCTGGAACCAAGTCTCTCCTCACCCCACCCAATACCCTCCATGCAGGCCCAGGTGGGTGGATGGGTAAGTAGATAGGGTAGGTACCTGGGTGAATGATAGAGGGGTGGATGGGGTAGGAAGGTGGGTGGAAGGTTGGGTGAATGGTTGGATTGCTGGATGGATGGATAGATAAGTGGATAGATGGAGAGAGTAGGTAGAGTAAGTAGAAGATAGATGATGGATGAATGGGTGAATCGATGGATGGATGGATGAGTGGACAGGTGGGTAGATAGGTAAATAATGGGCAGGTGGGTAAGTGGGTAGACAGATGGCTAGGTAGATGGATGGGTGGATGGGTAGGTAGGTGGGTGGATGGGTGAGTGGATGGGTAGGTGGGTAGATGCGTAAGTGGCTGGGTGGATGGTTGGGTGGGTAGGTGGATGGGTGAGTGGATGGGTAGGTGGGTGGGTGAGTGGTTGGGTGGATGGTTGGGTGGGTAGGTAGGTGGGTGAGTGGTTGGGTGGATGGTTGGGTGGGTGGGTGAGTGGTTGGGTGGATGGTTGGGTGGGTAGGTGGGTGGGTGAGTGGTTGGGTGGATGGTTGGGTGGGTGGGTGAGTGGTTGGGTAGATGGTTGGGTGGGTAGGTGGGTGGGTGAGTGGTTGGGTGGGTAGGTGGATGGATGAGTGGATGGGTAGGTGGGTAGATGGGTGGGTGGGTGAGTGGTTGGGTGGATGGTTGGGTGGGTAGGTGGGTGGGTGAGTGGTTGGGTGGATGGTTGGGTGGGTAGGTGGGTGGGTGAGTGGATGGGTAGGTGGGTAGATGGGTGGGTGGGTGAGTGGTTGGGTGGGTAGGTGGGTGGGTGAGTGGATGGGTAGGTGGGTAGATGGGTGGGTGGGTAAGTGGTTGGGTGGATGGTCGGGTGGGTAGGTGGGTGGGTGGGTGAGTGGTTGGGTGGATGGTTGGGTGGGTAGGTGGGTGGGTGAGTGGATGGGTAGGTGGGTAGATGGGTGGGTGGGTGAGTGGTTGGGTGGGTAGATGGGTGGGTGGGTGAGTGGTTGGGTGGATGGTTGGGTGGGTAGGTGGGTGGGTGAGTGGTTGGGTGGATGGTTGGGTGGGTAGGTGGGTGGGTGAGTGGATGGGTAGGTGGGTAGATGGGTGGGTGGGTGAGTGGTTGGGGGGATGGTTGGGTGGGTAGATGGGTGGGTGGGTGAGTGGTTGGGTGGGTAGGTGGGTGGGTGAGTAGTTGGGTGGATGGTTGGGTGGGTAGGTGGGTGGGTGAGTGGATGGGTAGGTGGGTAGATGCATAAGTGGTTGGGTGGACGGTTGGGTGGGTAGGTGGGTGGGTGAGTGGTTGGGTGGGTAGGTAGGTGGGTGAGTGGATGGGTAGGTGGGTAGATGGGTGGGTGGGTGAGTGGCTGGGTGGATGGTTGGGTGGGTAGATGGGTGGGTGGGTGAGTGGTTGGGTAGATGGTTGGGTGGGTAGATGGTTGGGTGGGTGAGTGGCTGGGTGGATGGTTGGGTGGGTAGATGGGTGGGTGGGTGAGTGGTTGGGTGGATGGTTGGGTGGGTAGATGGGTGGGTGGGTGAGTGGTTGGGTGGATGGTTGGGTGGGTAGATGGGTGGGTGGGTGAGTGGCTGGGTGGATGGTTGGGTTGTAGGTGGGTGGGTGAGTAGGTGGATGTGGTAAGTGCATGGGTGGAGGGAAGGAGAGATGGCACAGTTGATAAGAGAGATGGGACTGGATGAATGGCTGAGCACTGCCAACCTAAGGCTTCTCTGAGAACAGGTGCCATCCAGCAGGGCTCTCCTGAGAAGCAGTTATGTTGAAGCCACGAAGGTAATCAGATTCTTCCCTAAGACTACTTCAGGCCACCATAGCTACTCAAAGGAAGAGGTTGCCTTCGCCCCAGCCAAAAGCTGTCTTTCTGGCTTACCCACTCCATGACACCCTATAAGGTGTCAAAAGCAAACTTGCTGCCTTCATCTGATCTTTCCTGCAGCAGCAGAAACCACCGGACAACATTACAAAGGATGTTCCTGGGGGCCAGACAACATTACAAAGGATGTTCCTCGGGGCCAGACAAGTCCCATCTGCCTCTTCCCAGACTACTGCAGGGGGGCGGCCGCACGGAGACGGAGGCCCTACTTGCTGCTATGCTTGCCGGCCTCTAAGGGACCTACCAGTCCTCAGCACTCGTGGGGAAAAAGTAGCCCTTGATCATCGCGAAGGTGGACACGGCGTAGCCGAGGATGTTGGCGCACCACAGCAGCGGGATCCAGTTGTCAAAGATGATGGTGGGAGAGAAGTAGAACAGGAAGTGAGCGTTGGCGAACCACAGAAGGTGTGTGATGAGCCAGGCCTGCAACCCGTTGATCTGGTACTTGTTCACAATCCCTGCAGGGGCAAGGAGGGTGGAAATGTCAGGAGGGCGCAGACGCCTGACGCTCGTTCCTGGCTTAGGCCTAGCAGCAGAAGTGGGCTGGGGACACTACTGTCTCAGGCTCCACAGTGACTGCTGGGAATGCCCCAGCCCGCCACTAAATCAGGATCTCTCGGGGGAAGATGGATGGGTAGAAGGATGGGTGGGTAGATAAGATGGACAGATGGACTTGTAGGTATATAGGTAGGAAGATGCTAAGTAGGTGGGTGGATGATCGATGGGTGGGTGAATGATGGATGGACTTGTGGGGGGATAGGTAGTAGATGTTAAATGGATAGGTACGTGGATGATGGATGGATGGGCGGGTAGGTGAAAGATGAATGGATGGATGGGTGGATGGGTGGGTGAATACTGGATGGACAGACTTGCAGGTGGATAGGTAGGTAGATGGTAAGTAGATGGGTGGATGACCAATCGATGGATGGATGGATGGATGGGTGGATAGATGGGTGGGAGGACGGATGGGGCTAGGGTGAAGAGCCTGCTCTACCCACAATGGGACTGGAGTCAGGCTCCAGCCCCTTGAGACCTGGTGCTGTGGAAAATGCCCAGGTTCAAGCCATGCTCCTCTGGTGAGGCCAGCTCAGGGGAGGCGCAGCTGAGCAGAGCTTACCTGCCGGGGTCACTGCCCCCTCCTGGACTCCCCCTACGTAGCCTGGCAGAAATCGGTGGCAGAAGTCAGGAAGTAACATGTATAGGAGAATCTGAAATAGAATTTCAGGCCAAATAACTGGAGGCCCGCAGGGCGTGTGTGCAATGAAAGATTTGTTTTATTGGCAGTGCAAGGAGAGACTGAACACTGAACACTGCTCACTGTCACAGTAGAAGGGGGATGGGCTACTGCTGCCTGCAGGTGACCCTGAAACTCACCATCAAAACCACAAAAGCCTTCTCCAGGCCAAGGAGCAGGCTTCCCCTCCCTTCTTCCCTCTTATCTCTCCCTCCCTCCCTCTCATTCCCTTCCTCCTTTCCTTCTCTCCCTCCCTCTCACCTCCTTTCCCTCCTCCCTTCCCTTGTCCTTCCCTCCCTTCCAGTCCATCTCTCAGCCCCTGGGTTCCAGTGAGCTCAAGTCAGGTACAACAGGACACCCCACATTCTTAGCTTCACCTGTTCGGAACACCTGGCCGTCATTCTATCCAGATGAAGTAAATCAAAATAAACTAATGCAGCATGAATTGTTATGACAGCAAGACATTCCACGAAGCTTTTTTTTTTTTTAAGTTTAAGACATTTAACCCTGTGCTGCAGAGTGCCTTATGCCTTCACCAGTACCTCTTGAAAGAGAAATGTTATTTAATGCTGCTTTGCTCTGAAGCAAGGCTTCTCAAACTGGGCACGCGCGGCTCTGGGGGCTCAGGATGTCCTCCCGTCCAGCTCCAGGACAGGGAGTGTGGGTCCCAAGCCCCAGGCAGAGGCCAGGCCAGCACACTGCCAGCCAGGGCAGGGCCTGACCTGGAAGATGACCCAGGAGGCATAGAGCTGGGCGGCTGTGGCCGTCACGGGCGGGGTCTTGGCCCAGATGTCTGCGAGGCGAGCCTTGCCAGTGGCCAGGTCCACCACAGGGGTGGTCAGCGAGCAGTCGTACTGGTCACAGGCCATGATGAAGTAGTAGACGATGAAAGGGGCGAAGCTCAGCAGGAAGATGACGCTGGCCAGGGAGAACCAGTCTACCTCCCTGCAAAACAGACAAAACGACTGGGCGCCGCGGCCCACCCCTGATATCCCAGCTCTTTCTTATCTCCCATTAACCACCAGAATACTGGAAGTGGCGCTGTGGCTCAAGTGGTAGAGCACTCGCCTTGAGCTGAAGAGCTCGGGGACAGTGCCCAGGCCCAGAGTTCAAGCCCCAGGACCGGAAAAAAAAAAAAAAGAAACAGACAATGGAGACCTGAACTCAGCAGATGTCCTGGCATGGGAGTCCTGTCCATGTCATGAGCCCATAACTTGAGTGACAGCTGTCTGCCACTACGCAAGGTCCACCACTGGGTGGTGCCCAGACTGAGCTGCTAGGACCCCCCTTAACAGAAGCTGCCTCGGGTCCTTACCAGGCCCGGCCCCATTGTCCTTGAGACGCGGCCTTGCCATTGGAGTTGCTGGCAGGATTCTTGGCTTTGAGGACGCTGGCCTGAGATTTTGAAGCCATCGTGGCCTGTGGGAAGAAGACAAGTGCTTAGTTCATCCTGAAGACCACCTGCGAGACAGGTGTTCAGCACCTCTGCCGGCTGCCTCTAGGGGGACCACAGGCCATCCTGGTTCTGACAGCAATTGCAGACGGAGAAGAAATGGTCAGCCCTAGGCGGAGTGGACTGCCTCCACCCCGTCCCGTCCCGTGCCCTTCTAGCTTCTCGCACCCACCCCTGTCCTTTCTCCAAACAGCACCAGTGTGTTTGTGTGTGCTGTCGGTGTCCCTCGGTGAGAAGACACTACCAGGACAGACGTGGAGCATCCCACCCATCCCTCTGTCCTAAGAACACTGATAAATCATTACCCAGGGCCCAAGGCTCAGGCCTATAATCCCCGCTACTCAGAAAGAGGGGAACTTGAGGAGAAAAAGTTAGCAAGACACTATCTTAACCAATAACTGGGTGTAGTGCAGCATGCCTGCCATCCCAGCTAAGCAGGTGGTGGGAATAAGAGGACTGAGGTCTGAGGCCACAGTGGGCAAAAATGAGAAACCTTACAAAAGCTGAAAAAAGGCTGCAGGCAGCTCAAGGGGCAGTGTGCCTGCCCGGCAAGCATGGGGTCCTGAGCCCCAACCCCAGCACTGCTCTGCTCCCCCCTGCCTGGCAAGCATGCAGCTCAAGAGGCAGTGTGCCTGCCTGGCAAGCATGCGGTTCAAGGGGCAGTGTGCCTGCCTGGCAAGCATGCAGCTCAAGGGGCAGTGTGCCTGCCTGGCAAGCATGCAGCTCAAGGGGCAGTGTGCCTGCCTGGCAAGCATGCAGCTCAAGGGGCAGTGTGCCTGCCTGGCAAGCATGCGGTTCAAGGGGCAGTGTGCCTGCCTGGCAAGCATGCAGCTCAAGGGGCAGTGTGCCTGCCTGGCAAGCATGGGGTCCTGAGCCCCAACCCCAGCACTGCCCTGCTCCCCCCTGCCTGGCAAGCATGCGGTTCAAGGGGCAGTGTGCCTGCCTGGCAAGCATGCAGCTCAAGAGGCAGTGTGCCTGCCTGGCAAGCATGCGGTTCAAGGGGCAGTGTGCCTGCCTGGCAAGCATGCAGCTCAAGGGGCAGTGTGCCTGCCTGGCAAGCATGGGGTCCTGAGCCCCAACCCCAGCACTGCCCTGCTTCCCACTGCCTGGCAAGCATGCGGTTCAAGGGGCAGTGTGCCTGCCTGGCAAGCATGGGGTCCTGAGCCCCAATCCCAGCACTGCCCTGCTCCCCCCGCAATCACCCTACCAAAAAGTGGGAAGGAACAACGTTTCTCTAGGTTCCCACTGCTGCTCTAAGCGGTCTTAAGTTGGGATAAGCACTGAGGACCATACTTCCACAGCAAGTTCAGAGGGTGGACCTTTAAATTTTAAATCATCAGGTAATTGGGGGGATAGGGGAGGCCTCAGGTCCTGGGAGCTGTCCCTGAGCTTTTTTTTTGCTCAAGGCGAGCGCTCTACTACTTTGAGCCACAGCACCTCGTCCAGGTTGAGTGGTTTATTAGAGATAAGTCTCATAGCGATCCTCAGATCTCAGTCTCCTGAGGAGCTAGGATGACAGTGTGAGTCACCGGCCCCCAGGTAACCAGCAGAGATTTCCAAAAGGTTTTCTTAAAAACAGAGAAAAGCAGGATCTTCCAGAACCCGCTAGACTCTAGAAAGCAAAGATGGAACCAACTAGACAAAACCAGGCAATTGCTAACTCCAGGAAAAACAATTACACGAGGAGAAAAAGAACACAAAGCCTAACGATACTGCGTGCTCCTGCTGGCATCTGGCCCCGGCGTGGGGTGCTGGTAGGGCGAGTTTGGCATTTGGAGGTGATTCTGGCTATGGGATGCCACCGAGGTAAGGCCAGACCCAATGTGATGTGGCTTTCCAAGACCTGCGCTCTGTGCGCCTCACCGCCTGCAACTCCAGACCCCCACCCCCTCCCTGCCCCATAGCAAGAAGGGCTTCAGGTTGCCCATCCCGAACTTCTCCACCTGCCCTCTGGCAGAGCACTTGATTCTTGCCACATTCATTCTTGTGTTTACTCCCAGCAACACTGGACCAGCCCTGGTAGGACAGGCCCTGCGGCCTGCTCTCCAGTCTCTTCTGCCGCCAGCCCACTCCAGGCAGAAGGGAACACCCACCCTGCTGCTCAGCCCACAAGAACCAAGTCGGTGCTTGTCTCCTGAGCTGAGTTTTCACCCTGGCTAGGATAAGCCGAGTGCACCTGGGCCTTAGCAGCGGCTGCGCAGAGACCACGCCCACTTCACACCAAAGGCCTGCAGGGGACACAGGATGCCAGCAAGGAGGGCCCCACCACGGATGACCAAACCAGTGTGCCCGAATTTAAACAGTGAAGGCCCATGGGCAGCTTGGGGGAGGGGGTCAAAGCCCCTCAGTGCCCTCTTGGCACAGCACGGGCCAACAGAAAGAACTGAACTGGGAGAGTGACGGAGGCTTGGGGAGATGCTGCCCTCCTGAGGTAGGCAGGTCAGGGGACACCCAGCCAGCCTTCCCCGCAGGCGCTGGGCAGTGGCCTACATATCCTCCCTAGGACTCTCAGCCACCCTCAAACCTGCACACTCCCTGAGCGCATTCCAGGATCCAAGACCATGCCAAGAACACACAATAGCACAGAGAATAAGCTGGACTGGAGCCTGGCAACTGCGTCACGTTGGATTTGCTAATCTTCCTGCAGGCCTTGTGTCATGAACGTTTTTTGTCTGGTACTTGTGCCCACAGCCAAGTGCTGGTGGCTCACGCCTGAATTCTAGCAACTCAGGTGGAGGCTGAGATGTGAGGCTGGTAGTTTGAAGTCAAGCTGGATAGAAAAGTCTGTGAGACTCTTACCTCCAATTATCCACCAAAAAGCCAGAAGTGGGGCTGTGGCTCAAGTGGCAGAGCACCAGCTGTGAACAAAAAAAAGTTAAGGGATAGTACCTAGGCCCAGAGTTCAAGCTCAGGGCCAAAAAAAAAAAAAAAAAGTGGCTCAGGTCTCAGTGTTCCACGAGTTAAATCAAAGTGCTGAGATTTGTTGGTCCCAGAAATGAAAGGCTTACTGAGCCATCAGATGCTATTCCTAGGCCACCAGGGGCACAGCCAGCGTGCCAGGGAAATGGCCACCAGTTACAATGGAATTCTGGGAGGAGGAAACTGGAGCTCTTGCATTAAACCATCTGGATGGTAGGTGCTAGGGCGGGCCACTGCGAAGCACACAGTCCTGGGATGGGGGTGGAGTGTGTAATGGGAAGGTTGGGATGTGTGTGTGTGTGTGTGTGAGCGTGCGCCTAAAACAAGCCTTTTTCAAAATCACATCTCATGTTTCTGCAAGTCAGAATCTGCTCGGGGATGGGCTGGGTAGCTGGTGTGTGGGCCGAGAGCCAGGCAGGTACTGGACTCCGTCCCGTCCCGTGTGGGCTGGCCCAGGCCTCCCCACAGCCAGGGACACTCAGGGCAGCGGGCGATCCAACCCCTGGCACTGGAGACCCAGCCTTCGGGGAGGGTTGTCACATCCCTCGCACCCCCTCTGACCAGCTGCAAGCTCACGGCCACTCTTCATGGGAAAAAGAACTGGGCTCCATATAGGAGACAGGGGAGTGGCAGGCACTGGACTGTGGACTTAGGTGCAATGGTAGAACCTGCTAGTGACAGACACTCAACATCCAGTCTGGGCCATGTGCCTGGCACTCCACCTGGAGACTTGCTCCTCCGAGGGTGAGGAGGCTAGGTGGAGGTCCAGAAAGGAAGGATGACTGTCATCCAACAGGCCTCTGTGGGTGGGACAGGTCTGGCCCCGCCTCCTGGAGGGCCACGCTGGGTGGGGGCCTGCGGAGCGGCGCTGAGCTGTGAGCTGCTCTAAGGATCTGATGTGGAGGAAGATGATCGTGGAAACAGGAATCAGCAGAGGGACAACTTGGAAAATCTGTTAAATCTCAGGAGCGCTACTGGATTGAGGGATGAGAAAGAATGACAGAACTGGGATTGGGCAAGGGGATGGGAAACCATCCCAGAAAGATTCCCAAGGGCAGTAAACACCAGCAGGCACGGGAGCGTCTGCAGAGCTCACCACAGACAATTCCGAAGACAGTTACACAGTTCCAGGGAGAATCAGATAAGAAATGGCACCAAAGGCCATGCAGCCTGTCCCAACCAGGCACAGCCCATCCTGCCCCCAGGACGAGGGCCGTTTGCAATGGAGAACATCATCTAAGCGGCTTTTCAAACCTTAAAACATGCTGAAAACACAGCTCTTTTTTCTGTTTTTCCTTTTTTCTAATTTTTCAAGTACATATGTATTTGCAGAATAAAATAATTTTAACTTTTAAAACAAAAGCCCTGGCTTATAATAACCACAATCTCCTAGAAACACCTGTGGCTTTAACAGGAGTTCACAAGGTCCCCTGGCACCCTGCCATCCCAGGGCTGAGGCTGACATGGGGGGGTGAGGAGGGGGCTGGCGCATAACTTGGGCTTTCCTGTCGCCTTGTCCAAAGGATCCTCATCCAAAGGACAGGACAGTCACCTGCTGGAGTCCCACAGGAGACTTGCAAAGCCACACTGGGGCCCTTTTAAACTATTGATCAGCATAGCTCTGGCCTGACTCTGTGGGGCTCAGCTTACCTGGGGAGGGCAGGCTGGAGGCCCTGCTGGGGAAGGAGTCTCCCAGGCAGAAACTCTGACCCTTCATACCTGAGAGGTAATGAAACTCCAGTCCTGACGGAAGGAACTGGCTTTCTGCTTCTCAGAAGTCACACGGTGCACACTCACTGTAACACTGAGGTCTGGGAGACAAACGTGCAACCCAACCATCCTCAGATGCCACCGTGCTTCCAGACTGTCATCTGCCCCACAAGTCACCATCTCTACACATCCAATCTCCCTTCTTTCTTCTCCAAAATTGGTCTGTATGAGCATCTTCTGCAGCCTGGCTCCATCTGGCCACATCTCGTACACAGCTTCCCAATAGGAAGGCCGCCTATCTGCCCACTTACTTTAATTCGTATTTTTTAATCCACCTACATTAGTGTACAAGGGAGGGAATTCATGGTGACATTTCCACACCCTGGCACAGGTATCCCTGGCACCACTCCATCTTTTTAAAAACAACCTCAACAGGTTTCATTTGACGAATTTCCCATTTGCAAATACTACTGGGACCATATTCATCCTCGGACACCCTCTTCTGTAGCTCCTCCTCGGCTGGTTCCCTGCCCCCACCCACGAAGCTGGAAGCCTCTTTTACTCTGCTGTCATTCACTTTGCTCCTTTAAAACAAAAAGAAAACAGTGCATGTTCTCCCTAATATGTGGTAGTTAGATTTAAAAAGCAACGGGATATGACAAACTACAGGATTCTAGACCACCATATCCAGTGAGACCAGAGGAGGATAGTGTTAGGAGAAAAACACCAAGTTGTAAAATCCAAGCACCTCTTCATATGTATGTAAGATAACACACACACTGAAACAAACTCCAAAGATAAGGAAACAAAGCCCCTTTCCCTAGTTTGTCTTTTTGTTTTCTTCAGATGACTATTCTCTCTCTTTTTTTTGGGGGGGGGGGGTTGGTTGTGGGGCTTTAACTCCAGGCCTGGGCTGTCCCTGAGCTCTTTATAAAGCTCAAGGCTAGCGTTCTACCACGGGGCCACTTCCTGTTTTCTGGTGGTGAACTGGAGATAAGAGTCTCAACAGACTTTCCTGCTAGGCTGGCCTTGAACTGTGATGCTCAAATCTCAGCCTCCTGAGTAGCTAGTACGACAGGCGTGAGCCGCCAGTCCCCAGCGACTCTGTATTCATTACTTCATATATGGTGTATACTAATATGGGAGGATGGGACAGGATCAGTGGAAAATGGGTGAAAACGTGAAGCTGCCAGGGCCCACTGGCTGCACTGGACATTGAGGAAAGGGTGGAGATGGGCGAGAGGGAATGGAGAGAATGAGGGAACACACGATACTAAGCAAAAGGAAGGAAACGAACTTACCACCTGACGTGTGTAAAGGCAACCTCGCTGTATAGCACCTCTGAAACAAAAAGTTAATTTTTTTAAATAGGGATGGAAGGAGAAAAGTAGGACAGAGGGAGGGAAGGGTGACACTACCCAAAGAGAAATGGACTCTTCACCTGACTCATGTAACTGCCATCCCTTTGTACATCACCTCTAGAATAACAATTTTAGAAGCAAGACCCGGCGGTGGGGGGATCTCGTATTCCAAGGAGCTACAGTGGGTTTTCTTTTCCCTGACTTCTCAGTCTCTGCCACCTTCCTGGACTTTAGGGAAAGGCGTCGTGGCAGAGAGGGCGATTTACCCTCTGCCCTGTCCCATCCTGGGGCGGGGGGGCGTCCTCCAGGCAGCCACCTGGCCTCAACTTCCCTGCACCGCACTCCAGCTACACAGCCTCCCTATTGCTTGCGAGCAGACAGACACACACACACAGACAGACAGACCGGGTCAGAGCTGCGTGATAAGGGCTCGCTCAGCTGCGCATCTGAGCTGGGTGGTGGGTGCCGGGGAGCGCCCCACACCTGCCCGGCTCGCCCCAGCTTCCCGCCTGCGGCCGGGCGCCCCCGCGGCTCCCCCGCCCCGGGGGCCGCAGGTCCCCACCGACGTGCCCGTGGCACGCGCCCTCCCGCAGGGCGAGCATCCCCCGCAAATGGTGCTCACGCCCCGGGGCCGCGCACACGCGCCCTCCCCGTCCGCGCCCACCGCCCCGGCGCCGCGCGCGCCGGGCTCCTCACCTCCCACCGCTCGGCGCAGAGCTCCGGCTCCGCGCGTCGCAGGCCTAAGAACCGAGAGCGCGCGGCTGGGCCGCCCGAAGCCCCGCCTCCGCGCTGACGTCGTGGGAGGTGACAAATCGGAGGCTGGCCTCGTGGGGCCTGCGATTCCGCGCCCCGCGATTGGCCGAGGCGCCTGAGCTGACTTCTGGCCCACCGCGCGAGCCACTCGGCGGCGGCGGCGCTCGAGATTGACGGCCGGAGGTCCGGCCCGTCCCCGCCCCTCGCCCTCCCGCGCGGGCCCGTGGCCTCCGGCTCCGGGAGGTTCCCGCGCGTCTACCCGGCGGCGCGGGCCGGGGCACGGGTGCGCGCTGGGTCCGGTTGTCCACTCGCCGGTGGATGAACGCGCCCTCCACGTGCCTCGGTTTATTCTTGTGCGAGGCGCTGCACACAGCGCGGCGTCCTGGCCGAGGTCCTGCGCCCCGGACTCCGGCCCTGGGGCGAGGGGCACCCAGATCGCCAGGACCACGAGGGATGCGGGGACGCTCCGGGGCTCGGAGGAGTGGAGAAGGACTGACCCGGGCCGGGGGGGCCCGGGAGCCCGCGGGGAGCCCAGGGCAGGCCGGGCAGGCGCGGGTGGGGGTCAGGCCCGGGTCCCTGCAGCCCCGCCAGGGCCGGGCCGGCCCGCAGGAGGCCCCGCTGCCACCCCGCGCCCGGCTGCCACCCCGCGCCCGGCGGCGTCCGCCGCCTGCGGCCCCGGCCTCACGGAGACTTGTTCAGGACCTCTCACTTGGCTTTTGCACTCAAGGCCGGAGCTCTGCCACGCGAGCCGCATTCGGTGGTCCGTGGAAGGCGGGAGATGGGACTCCCATGGACTTACCTGCCCGGGCTGGTTTTCAAGACCACAGAGCCACCAGGATGAGCACCCGGCGGGAAGCTACTGTTGGAAAGGCCTCGCAGTCAGCAAGTTGCAGTGATAGTAAACACACGTGTGCTGAGAGGCAGCAGCTGTGAACAGCTTCACCTCTGCTCTGCCTGTGCCATGCTTTTCTCCAACCATTAGTGAACTACAGCTACTGCGTACCTCCTCCTATAAACGGAGGACAAGATAGGCCGAGCACATTCTGGACACTAAACATTTTAAAGCTGTGAGATGATAGTCACCTACAATTTCCCTCAATTATCCCAACAATATAATTTACAGCATTTGCTTCTTTGTTTTCTGTGCCCAGTCCTGGGGCTTGAACTCTTGCCCTGGGCACTGTTCCTGGGCCTTTCTTTGCTCAAGGCTTGAGTTACAGCTCCACTTCCTTGGGGGTTTGTTGGGGGGGGGTTGTTTTGGGGGGTTTGTGGTTAATTGGAGGAAAGATTTTCAGCCTCCTGAACAGCATTACAGGCATGAGCCACCAGTGCCTGACTAGAGCTTTCTTTTGAAACCCCAGGAACCAGCCAGGGAGCTACACTGTACCCGTGTGTGTGTGTGTGTGTGTGTGTGTGTGTGTGCACGCGTGCGCATGTGTGTGCGCACGCGCACATGTGAGTGTCAGTACTGGACCTTGGAAACTCAAGGCCTATGCCCTGCCACCTAGCTTTTTCTGCCCAAGGCTGGTGGCTCTACCACTGAAGCCACAGTTCACTTCTTGTTTTTGCTGGTTAATTGCAGATAAGAGTCTCCTAAGCTGCCCTGGATTGTCTTTGAACCTCAACCCTCAGAACTCAGCTTCCTAGGTCACTAAGATTACAGATAGACACTACTGGCACCTGACATGGTTACACCATTTTTCTGTACTTGTTTGGTCAGGATAATGAACTGCATAAGCATGTGGTGTCTTTTGGTGTCCAGTGAGGGGCCACACAGTCTCCCTTTGTGTCAGGGTTGAGGGTGAGTTTGAGCACAGATTGCAGGTGGTTTTTTTTAGAAGTCTCCATTTTCGTTTTCATGATTAAGTAAATAGAGTGGTTCTTTGAGACTGTAAATATATTGTTTACAAACCACCTTTGACCCTGTGACTTAGCATTTAATGATGCTTATCTCAATCTTCTTTGTGCAAGATTGGTCTTGAAATTTCAGCATTACTATTTTTTTTTAACATTATTAAGCATCAGGTGGTTTTCTTCAGTGTGTGGGTGTCTGTCTGTCTGTGTGTATTTGCACTGGGGCTTAAACTCCTCAGCTTTCTCACTCCAGGCTGTCACTCTTACCACTTGAGCCACATCTCTGCTTTAGGCTTTTTGCTGATTAATTGAAGAGTCTTGCAGACTTTCCTGCCTGGGCTGGCTTTGAACCTTGTTCTTCAGCTCTCAGCCTCCTGAGTAACCAGGATGACAGGTGTGAGCCACTGGCACTGGGTTGTTGATCTTCCATTCCTGAGGGTGGCTCCCGGGTCCCTTAGCCTTTGAGACTTACGGTTGTGGGCTCTTCTTTTGGAAGGTGCTCATCCAGCAAGGACTCGGTTCTGATTTATTTGCTGGCGGAGGGAACAGACCCTTTGGAGTTGAGGGTCTGAAACCTCCAAGTTGTCAGTCATGAGCAAGCATTGCTACATAAACGGGGGTGAGGGGCTGGGAGTGCAATTAAAAGTGAAAAAAGTGCTTATCTGACAGCAGCATTGGAAAATGCTTACAAGAAAACCAACGATGTTAACTAAGTCGATCGTTGTGCAGGAGCGGCGGCGGTGGGAGAGGGCGTGGTCTGTGGGCGGGGCCTGCCGAGGAGGCTCCGCCCCGCTCCCAGGAAGGCTTGCCTGGTTGGGCGGGGAGCGGGCGTTGCCAGCCTATCCGAGGACTTGCGGGGCGGGGCCGTGGCGGGAGGGGCGGATCCGTGGCGAGGTGACCCGGAAGTGCGGGCGCCGGGGGCCTGTGGGCGGGAGACTGGCCCGGGGATTGGGTGTCCGGTAGGCCTGGATTCCCGGCCGGGGACCGGGCAGGATGGGCCGGAAGGTGACGGTGGCTACGTGCGCTCTGAACCAGTGGGCGCTGGACTTCGAGGGCAACCTGCAACGGATCTTAAGGAGTGAGTCCGGGGGTGGCGGGGCGGGAGGGGTGCGCGGGCCCGGCACCCCGGAGTCACGTGGGCACCGACCTTGCTGGCCTCTGACCTTGCTGGCCTCTGACCTTGCTGGCCTCTGACCTTGCTGGCGCTCTGACCTTGCTGGCGCTCTGACCTTGCTGGCGCTCTGACCTTGCTGGCCTCTGACCTTGCTGGCGCTCTGACCTTCGGCCCCCGGCGCCTGTGTACACTGGCTGGGACGCGTGAGCCCCAGCGGGGGTGGAGTCTGCAGGCCTGGCGGGAAGGAAGAGCTCCCGGGTCGGTGGATGTCTCTAGACGCAGCTGCCCGTCCGCAGACGTGGAGGGGTTGAGGGGAGATGGGGGGTCTCTGTCCCCAAGGACCTCCCTGGGAGATGGGGCCGCGGGAGACGTCCCCCCACCCCTCCAGAGGATGCAGAGTAAGGGGTGGGCTGGCAGATCTCTGAACCTTAACAGTCAAACTGTTCCTGAGCTTCTCTGCTGAACAGCAAGAGGGTCTGCCAGCAGCCAGATCCCAGTGCTTTTGAAATATGTGTACATCTATCTGCCTGTTTTCATCTCCTTAGAGCAAATGTCTTGGGATGAATAGGGCTGTCTGTCCCCTTCCTTGCCTGGATTCCCTTATAAGGAGCCGGTGTCCTATACTGGCACCACTATAGGTTATAAACTTTCTTGGTCCACCTACAGCTTTTTCCCTGCAGCTGTCTTGGCACCCACTTGTTGATAAACTTCTTGATAAATGGAGTTGTAACTCCCACATCCTCCTCCCCTATGTCAGTTCTGCAGGCTCCCCTGTTCTCTGTGTAATCCTGTGGGTGTGTACAAATGTATGTGAGTAACGTCCTCTGATACTGTTGACAGGGGACCTGACTGCAATTGGAGGGGACATCACAGCATTGGGGGGGTGGGGGGGAAGGGAATAGAGGCTGGTCCCTAGGCTTTGAACTCTGGGCCTGGGCATTCTCCCTAAGCTCAGGCTTTTGCTCAAGGCTAGTGCTCTACCATTTGAGCTACAGCACCATTTCCAGCCTTTTCTGTAATTGATTGGAGATAATAGAGTCTCACAGACTTTCCTGGCCAAGCTAGCTTCAAACCACAATCTTCAGATCTCAGCCTTCAGAGCAGCTAGGATTACAGGTGTGAGCCAGCAGGACTTAGCTCACTGAGCATTATTATCTTACCCACTACAGCACAGTGCATTGACAGCCATGATTACATCCTGGGTTCTGAAATTATCCTCCCCCCCTCCCCATGTCATGTAGGTATTGAAATTGCCAAGAACAAAGGAGCAAGATACAGGCTTGGACCCGAACTGGAAATATGGTGAGAAGCCCATCTGTACTTGTGGGGGGGTGGCATGGTAGTGTCGGTGGCAGGCGTGTAGTGGTGGCTGTGTCAGCTTTCTCGGGCTGAAAGGGTGGTATATGCGTAGATCTGAGAGCTGTGGAAAGGCCCAGCCCCCTCAGGAGGTGCTCAGCAACATGACATTGGACCTGGCTTATGCCCAGAGCAGGCTCAGGGAGATTGGGCAAGTCTGTTCCTACATCAGAGCTACCTTGAAACTGTTCTCCGCCTTGCCTCAACCCTGTGCTGCAGTGTGGATATTTGTCCTCCCACAGTCCTGCATTTTGTGTGGTGCTTGGATCCCAGTGCTGAGGGGAATGAGGACTCTGGGAACAGGGTAGAAAGGAACCCTAGAGTTGCTCCTTGTCAACACCAGGAACCGGCTCTGAGCTGAGTCATTATGGTGCTCTATTTGTTTGTTTTTTGTGTGTGCATCAATACTAGGGCTTAAACTCAGTCTGGGTGCTGCTACTTAGCTTTTTTGCTCACTGGTGCCCTACTGCTTAAGCCACAGCTTCACTTCTGGCTTTTGGCTGGTTAATTAAAGGGCTGGTTTTGAACCTTGATTCCTCAGATCTCAGCCTCCAGAGTAGCTAGGATGACAGGCCTGAGCCACCAGACCAACTTGGAATCTTTATGCTTTATAACATCATGGAGCACTGTAGGAGAGTCCCTGGAGTTGCTGTGACCAAGGACTACAAACGGAGTTGTTT